AGTTCATGACTTGTGCGACGTGTTGTGACTGTCCGGGTGACGCCGCATTGGCAGAGAGCCTGACGTTTCGCCCGTCATATCGCAGGCTTCTTCAGGGTAGTGACGTTTGGTCACCAATGACACGGTTCTGCCAACAACGCGGCATCACCCGGACCAACTAGAAGTCAAACCATATCATGGATTACCGAAGGTATCAAAGTGTCATGTGAAAGAAAACACAACATGTATAAAATACTAACAAATAACAAATGTAACTTTAACTTCATTTCATACTACATAAAATATAATTCAATCCTAAACAATGTAATCAAACAAACAAAAATTATGACAATTATAAGTACATTTCAAATGTATGTAACAAAATAAAAGTTATGCGGGACATTATTTAAAAGACTCCTGCACCAACTAATAATAACAGAAGAAATATAGAGCTTCACTCCAAGAACCAAACTTTACAAGACCCACAACAAATAGCTGATATATTCAATGAACTTCTCGCAAATTGGTAAAAAAATTAACCCTTTCGGTCACGACTTTTTCCTTGCAATGGGAAAATTATTTCTTTGTAAGATTTGAAGAAAAGGGACCATTTTAAGTAGTCAAGGATTTTTATTCATAAGAGTTCATAATTTTGAAATTTATAGCATGTCTACAATTGGAGACAAAATTACTCAACAGTAACAAATGTCTGGATTTTAGTCACCCAATTCTATGGACATTATTCTTTCATACACATACATTAAAAAGCATATTTACTTTTTTGTGTCATAATTCCCAGTCATAAGTACATTCTATGATAGGAAAAAATAAAATCCACACATTTCCATTTCACAAAAACGTTATATTTTTGCTTATTATTTTGAAGCAATCTTTTCTTACATTTGTAATTAAATGTATTAAAACAACCAAAAGTCATTGGAGTTCAAACTGTATCATTTACTTCCTATGATGAAAATAAACAAATTTCTATCTTTACGAAGACCCAAGAATACTTGACATTTTTGACAGCACCATCTTGATTTCCCTTAACACCCATTGTTTTTGCATCTCCCGGGCAGTGCATTATTGTGAAGAGGTAGATGGTCAGTAGTATCAAGAAGTACTTCATCAATTGGTCTTACCTCTGTATTTTCCCTTTGTTTTATGACATTATGCTTCCTGTTATCTTCACTTAGAGGTCTTCCTCTTTTGTTCACTGTGGTCTTTCCTTCATTTATCAGTGCCTCTGCTACACTTAGCCTAAAATGACGGAGGTTTAAGGTTTCTTTTTTGGACACTTCTAAAATTCCTGCATCTTTTACATATTCAATCCAACTGTTAGTTATAGCCAAATCCACTGCATGAAAAATCATTTTAACAGTTCACTTCCTTGTATTAGCAGAAATTCTGTAAAGGCTAATTAGAAAATTGAACTTATCAACACCTCCCATTGACTTGTTATATAACTGTATCACCTCAGGTCTCTCTATACTAACAAAGTTCTTCTCTTTCTTATCCCATCTTTTTACATTGTCCTTTTCTCCTACTCTACTAAAATTTGATTCTAGGTTGACTGGTTTGTTATCATTCCATTTGACTATAGTGATTTTCCCATCTCTACTGCAAACCTCGTTGCAGTAACCTCTTGGCATTTTCCTAATTTCTTCGTCAGAAATGAGAGGATTGTTAAATCTATTTACTTTAACTGTACCAGCAGCAAGAATACCTTTTTCTTTTAGACCTTCAAGAAGGTTGTAAGAGCAAAAATAATTATCAAAATATAGCTGATGTTTTTGTTTCAAATCCTCAGTTAAATGTAAAACAACCGATGCCCCTAGTCCAAAGATCTTAAGGATTTCCCCACTCAGTTCTGGTTATGATATCTCTGAGATAATATTCTCATTACTTTGAGTTATTTCAGGTATACTCAACACATCAATTTTCACATAACGGTGCACAGGTAAGAAAGTCTTTTGGGTGTCACATTATACTGAAAATCTAATATTTCCTCATCTTCATTTTTGTGTTGTTCTTCTTCACTCGATTCTTCTAAAATATGACATGTAAGATCCTGCAATTCTTCTTTGTCAAGGCCGATGCAATACCAGAAATTTCATCTTTTTCTTTCTCGTCACTGCTCCAACCAGCTATGGAAGATACATTTTCATCTTCCAATAATGATAAAATATAATGAGGTTCAAGACCTGTTAGAAGATTAATAAATTAATATATTGACTTGCATTAGAATTAAAACAATGATATGGAACGTGCTAACAAAATATATTGAAAAAATGCAAAAGAACCAGCCATGAGGTTGATAGACAAACGCAAAGAGATGCAACCATTGCATAACATTGTCTACAATTGTACACACTAACATTTGCATTCCTATACAGAAAAAATGTTAGTGTCTACTAAGTTGGATTATTAACAAGAATTAACATTCAATCAATACGAAGGATATTACACACTTTCTTATGCCTGAAAACTTCTGATTTCAATGAAATAAAAATAAATACCAGAACCGTACCTTCCAATCTCTGATGTGGGATAGCCATCGTTTACTTTTTTCTGTATATATCCAAAACAAGTCACAAGAGAGAACTACAATTAAAAAATAATGGAGAAAAAAGAATGCGGAAGCCCAAGGAATATTTATTATGACCAGCCATAATTTACACAATCGGCAATCAACCTTAAAAGTCGATTGTAGACACGGAGACCGAAAAGGTTAATCTCTCAAAACTCTCTAAACAATAAAACACACCAACCAAACACTAATGTTACACAAATTGTAAATTCCATATTTTTTATATGAAACCAATGATATATTCAAAATGGCAAACATTAAATCATTTTTTAAAAAAGGCAATAGTTATAAATCAACAAACTACAGACCTATCTCTCTGTTATAAGGATTTTCAAAAATTCTGGAGAGGCTTTCCAACAATAGACTCAAACAGTTTCTCAATTCAAATAATGTCCTCACAAATGCACAACATGGCTTCAGGAGTAATAGATCCACAGACACAGCCGTCTTCTCCTTTTTAAATGACATTCTTGTTGCACTAAATCCGCAGAAAGTTTCTATTGGCCTTTTCTTAGATTTGTCAAAAGCCTTTGGCATTATTGACCATCACATTCTTTTAACAAAACTAGAATTTCTAGGGATTTGAGGCATTGAAGGCCAATGGATCAAATTATATTTATCAGACTGTAGCCAAGTAGTTGGTCTCCAGCACACTACAGAAAACAAAATCTCCTCACAGTACTCCTGCCATCAAATGATAAATTGTGGAATCCCACAAGGATCCATCCTTGAGCTAACACTATTCCTTATATAAATAATAACATGCTTTTGGCTTCAAGAAATAACAAAATAATTTTGTTTGCAGATGACACAATCATAAACATCAAAGCAAAAACACAACAATGATTAGAAAAAGAAACTCACAAAACCTTACATCCATTAGTAAAATCGTTTCAAGACAACAAACTCACTGTAAACACCAGCAAGACAGTCTCTAAATTTCATGAATCCCCGATCTAAAGAAAAACTCTCACAGCATTTGCTCATAAATAATAACCCTGTAACAGTATCGCATGAAACTACCTTCCTTGGTCTAACAATTCAAGAAAAGATTAAATGTAATGCTCACATCTCAAATCTAAAAAAGAAGTTCACCAAATCTTGCTATGCCCTACACACCCTCAGGTCAAACTCCAACATTGAGACACCTTGGACAATGTATTTTGCAAATGTGCACTCACACCTAAAATATGGAATAATATTACAGGGAAATGCCCCTAAAAGGGCCTTAAAATTTATTATCCAAAAAAGAATACTGCAAAAAATAACCAGCACTCAATAGCTGGAGTCTTGTAAACCCTTATTCAATAAACTAAGGGTTCTTCCTCTACCATGCATGTATATATTTGAAATAGTGATTTTCACAAAGAAGATTCTCATGAAAAACAAAGGCACTTTTACTCTTAATTCTGATTAACACACCTAAAATCCTTGTCAAAAGTATAACCTACATTTTCCTTGCTCTCTAACTACACTTTATCGAAAAAGTACCCTAATAGAGGGCATAACACTTTACAACAAACTGGGCAACGATATTAAAGACAAACACAATTCTTACATTTAAAAGTAAATTGAAAGCTTTTCTGCTTAACATGTTCTACTGTGTAAAGGAATATTCAAATCACATCAATACTTCCCTTAAAGAAATATAAATAAATAAAAATTCGTATCCCAATTGTCTTTCTATTTCATGTAGACTAGTTTGAACTGAAGCAAAGGAATCCAGTCCTATCGGTGTCAAATTGCAGTTGGACCAATGTAGAAGGAGAATGCCTGACCAAATTTTTTTCCTTCATCCTGGATTTGCTAGATGAATTGGGTTCCGAAATAGAAGAAAAAAAACAGCCAAAATCTGACTCCTATCCCTCACCATTTCAAAATTTAAACATAGAATGTACTAATATTGTTAAATTATATGTTGTTACTATAATTGATATCATGTACTCTTATTAATATTATTATTATTATTATTATTATTATTATTATTATTATTATTACAAGTAGTAGCAGTAAAATAACAATAACAAGTAAATTTTACTTTTACATTAAACATGAAACAGTACAAATCTTGAAATGTTCAATTATTTTGCTACTCAAACTAATTATCTACTGCATAATATCTTAATCTCTCTGAAACAAGTATTGTAGTATAATTCCTTGGCCACTGAACCCTTCTCGATCAGATTTGTTTGTCCAGTTTCCTTGGTCCCTTAATCAAATGCTGAGATGGTCCCATGTTTCACTTCTGGACAGTATTGTAACATTACTCTCTCCAAGACATCATATTGACTCATCATACACAATTGTAATTGTTCATGTGACTCAATAAAATATGATTATATTATATTATATTATTTTTATCGTTGTTGTCATGGTCATTGTCGTTAAATTTGGATGGGTGGGGTCCAGGAGTTAACTCAAGTTAAATTTGAGGATTATGCGGAATTGAGGAAAATTCAGAATTATGTTTTATCACATGTATTTATATACATCAAATTCATGGTCATCAGACATAGAAACATGTACAAGGATTCCACCAAGATACAAAATGGTGATTCTCAAGAAACTTAAAAGAATAAGAAAAGGCAAGACAGAGCAATTATCAGATACAAAGCACCGAACTTCAAGGCACAGTCAGCATTCATCTAAGAAACTTTTCTTCCAAAATTGTTGGAATATATCAATATAACATCTTCGTCAGTACCATAGCTACAACGAGCTTCATCCATTGCTGTGAACGACATGCAGCATATCCCTGAAAGAAAAGGAAAATATTTTTTCCGGGTGCAATTCTAATTGTTCAATAGTCCAGATTAAAAATTCAATTACTAAGAGAAAAATACAACTTACGATCATGGAGGGAAGGATTGTGGTAGTAAAATTTCTTTTTAGCAAGATTATATCCACATAACACAATATAATGACCTAAAACACAACACAACTATCCTATTATCGCAGGATAAACTTAAGTCTTAAGCTATAAGCTAAAAAACAGTAATTTCAATTATTTTATTTTTTAATTTGTTATTGCTTGTTATTGCTTTCGATATGGAGCTCAATATACAAGCATAACTTAAATGGAGAAGATTGTGGTTAAGAGGGAAATATGAAAACAGTTGAATAAAGGTGAATGAAGCTACTGGCAGGACTTGTGAAAGGAAATTAGGAGAGAGAAATATGGAAAGACAAACCAAGTCAAGTTAATTAGTTAAGTCTAGTTAATTAATAAATAAGTAAATATATGAATCAATATTATTACAAAAAAATTAAATCATGTCTGTATCATGGGTGTTAACCGGTTCTAGTTATCTTGGGCACCAAAAAACCCTCGGGCTTTTTGTCACCGCTCACTTGGAACACTTATAATGCCTTTATGCATAAATAACTATATTTCCCCTGAACTTTTCAGAATATTCTGGAAGGATTGATCTAAAAATAGGGCTAATTGCTTCATCTTGTTGAAAGGAGTTGAATGAGCTATTTATCACTAATATAAGTGTCTTACAATTTCAATACAATACTAAACAATACCGACAACAATTTTTCAATATTGACTTAGAATGTTCTTAAATGATTCAGTAAAAATGGTTAGTTCCCAGCCAGTATGTGAGTCAAATGACACCTTCAGTGTTTCAAATGGGAGACAAGAAGCAGTCTGGCCATGATTGACAGACAGACCTACGCAGATTACTCTATTTAGGACAGAATTTCAGAATATTTTGAAAATTAATCTGTGTTACTTTTGAGAAACAATGTAACTTAGTAGAAGTTGCAGCAACTTGCTGAATGACACTGCACAAGGCAGATTATAAATCCCGAAGACACTGGACTTCTGGATTGACATTAAACTTCCACAGTTTGCTTAGGTACAGTTTTTTGGCTGTTCTGTTTACATTAACTGTATATATAAATTATATATAAAAAAGTTCCTATTCACATTTTTTTGTCTGGTAGCAACATGAAAATTATCATGAGGATTTCAATACATTTTATCAAATGGCTTTTACCATTTATTATAAAGTTATCTCAGAGAAGATTTTGATGTACAACACATTGTTTTGAAGTTTAACTTGTTCAAGTTTTTTCAGTAATATAGTGTGAAAGGAGAAAATGTATTTCGAAACAAGGAATCCTTATTTTCACCCAATTCCTTTTCCCTATTGATGGATGTTATCAGTGAACTCCATTTCATTATTTTGTGCAGAAGTACAGTAATAAATTAGAATACTCAACATTATTTTTACATGAAATTTCATAACTCATTGCCATTTTTCATTGATTTGTTACATAGACTTATTTCCTACACTTTACATTACAATAAATAGTATTATAACTCTAATATGTAATTAGACCTACCATTGTAATTCACACTCCATGGAAGCCAATGCCTTAGTTCAGATAAAAGTTTCATTGATTTGCAAGTTTCACATGCTAACAAACTTGAATTTGTCAGTAGAATGATAGGTCCATTTAAAGCTAGATGCTGTATCAGTTCCAAATGGGTCAGAGATTTTTCTTGTACATCAAGACCTCTCTCTTTAGCTTCTGAAAATCTCTGCATAACTCTCCTTTCATCCTGTAAAAACATTACCATATATTAGAATATAATGACTTGTAATGTATCCCCAATTTTCCTTCCAACATACCTAATTACTTAATCATCATCTTCATATTCAAAGATTAAAAATTATCTAATCAATCTATATGCTAACATAGATTCACGATTTTATTCCCAGTAAGGTCAACAAGAAAAATTAATCACACTTAACAAAGAACCCCAATTTATTGTAGTTTACTGCTAATTAGTTTGAGGTTTTTTCAAAAATAGTTCATTTGAAAAGAACAGGGTCATCTTATATTATTTAGTAAGCATGGTGGGATGGGATCACTTATCCATGTCAATAAACTCTAATGTTGACATAACAAGATGTTGCAAAGGTGGTCTAACGTATGAAGGGAAGGGTGAAGGGTCATAGCCCCCTGACAATTTTGAAAGACTGCAGTAGTCTCACGTAATCTGACTTCTTTTTTCACAAATGTTTTAAATCCCTGAAAAATAGGACTTTTGGAATGGATGGTTACAGTTAAAATTTTACCGAGTTGGTAAACGAATGATTACATTAGTCTGTTAGTAAACATATCTATGAATAAGCAAGTATTTTTGCTTCATTGACTAGCATAAGAAATTTGAAAAATATTGTTGTTTTATTTAGCAATACAAATCAACACTTATTCTGTTATCATTGATTAGCTACTTTTCCATAATTGAATTAAATATTTGTGTTAATTTATGAACAACTTTTTAACATATTTGCACAACATTATAGGTATTTGACAAAAATTGCACAACAATTCATTAAATATTCTTTTTTTCCCCATCATTATCATATTGCCTTAATGGAAAAAGAGGACATTTCTTATAAAAAAGAGGGCACTTTCTATAAAATGTTTTAATATAATAATTTACTTTTCTTAAAGACAAAATACTTACTACTGACTAAATACTTCCATCACAGTCTTCACATTCACAATCACACAATAGGTCTACTTAATTATCATTAGTGCTTTTTCCACTTTTATACCACAAATATTTGCTGAATAATGAAATCTCCCTCAACAATTGAAACTTTGCTTTGCTTTGAACCTTACAACAAACTCTTTGAACTTATACATATGCCATTAAAAAAGGTATTTCTCTTTGGCATTGTGCTCATAATTTAAACACCATGGAGCAGTATTAACGTCGTGCACCAGCAGAATAGTAATAACACCACAGAGCACAGGCTCTATAACAAGCACTAACTCCCTATTCATTGCACCCGCTTATGGCAGCACTGCCGCATTTCATGGAGGCAAGGATGTAAATATAGATATATTTGATCTATGGATTTTGACAAGGCAACATAGTTTAGGCAAGATAGTTTAAGTGAAATATCGTTTATTTATAAAACAATGACATATTATTATGTCAGTTACTCAAAAAAGTTGAATAAAGCAAAGTATCCTTTGATCATAATAAGTTTAGGTTGCATTTAAAGTAAGGTTGTCTTTCTAACAAAAAAGAGAACATTTTGTCCTTTCTTGTAAAATCCACCCAGACAGTTTTTCTTACTTCAAAATGAGGACGTGTTTGGGGAAAAGAGAATGTGCAAAATAGTATGAATTACTTAAAAATTTTAAAATATTCTCAGGCCTCTTCATAATTAGATCATCTTTGATCATCTTATATTCAAAGTAGTCATAGATTCGTGAAAATACGGTAATATGATTGAACGGAGACATACCAAAAAATTTAAGATTAACAAAACTGTATAAAAATCTCATCACAAATTAAAGACTTAACCACCACATTTAAACATTAAGGCAAACAAATCGTAAATGGAAGCATCACGTAGATTTTTTTGCAGTATGGCAAGATTAAAATTACAAATCTTTGGATAAATTGTTTGAAAGGCCTCTAAATCACTGTGATGTTCTTTATTCAAAGAAAAATTTTTAAATTGGGCAATCATCAAAAATGCAGAGTATAATAAAAGCAACACCAAAAAAAAATTGATTTTATAAAAAGGGTAAAGATTACAATACCAATCCATGATATTTTAGCACATCACCTACAAAACCATTCCACATAAAATGGTAAATAATTCAACTGCTGGAATCAGTATTTATGACAACATGAACAATACATCAAATCTTAAAATCAAAATATTACCTTTCGCAAAACTTTGGAATAAAAGGACTGAGTTTCATATCCAGGATTTATACCCAAAGTAATAGTGCAAAAACAATGTTTCACACCATATCGCAGCAGCAGGTAGCACAAATCAATTGTCCAAGTGCTGTAACATAATTGAGTTTTAAATTACAGACTTAATACAATAATATCCACTCCTATAAAATTATAAGTAAATTGACACCTTTTATTGAATCCTTCTTCCCTACACACTTCATTGAAATTATTATGAAGTTCAGTCCGTAAATCTGGGGACAATACCATTTGCACACATGACACTCCACAATCCCAGTTGAATCTCTGTTTCTGATGACATATTATGAGCTCAAGTGATGGGGGCACATTGGGGAGGTCTATAAAAATGAATCACATGAACAGAAATTAAAAGAAAATATCCACAATGAAAAATGAACATAAATAATTTAAAATACCTTTGTTGTTGTCATGGCACTCCATCATTCACAATATTCATAACAGTCTTTGGCAGGTGGACTGCATCTCCACATCTGACACTTCCTCTTCGATGGGAATTCTGACAGTACTGCATTTACAGTCGTCCATGATCAAATAGATAGATTGATAGGTAATTTAATATATATGCCATGGCCTTACTTCTTCATATTTACTAATGATGAATTAAAGGGTTTCATTTCATAAGTTTCATCTGATCCATTTAATTTGATCAACAAACAATAATGGACTATTACGTCACAATCTTGTCATAGAATGCACACACAATACGCAAAAATACCATACAACAATAACGTATTCACTTGCCTTTCACGCGCGATTATACGATCAGTATGAACAAATTTTACTAGGTAGGTTATTTTACAAAGTTCGTCATATACGACGAATTAAGAGCATTATTTAAAGTCAGTAAACAGCCCTTGAAAGCAACTGAGTCCAGCTTTCGTGCCAATGACTGGAAACGCAAACTACTGTCAGTCAAATTGCAGTCAACTACATACGTCAACCAACGTCAGCTATACACAACGAACACGATCGACCCCTTATTTTGGCAGATTGCACTGTCCCAGCACCTGACCAGTACTATCTGGCCCACGCAGTGCCAGCCAGTTATCTCCGCCAAAGAAACATGCAGTTGAAAACATGCGCTGGTGCACAATGTTTTTTTGTCTCTTGTATTGATTACTTGTAACAAATATAACGTAGATAGGTACACATAATGTAATTTTCAACACGGTGCCCAGTGACAGAAGCAAAAGGCAGGTCGAATTTGACAGCTTTCAGAATAGCGCACGGAAATGAATATAAGAGATTTTAAAATTACATACACCACACAAAATCTCTCATTTTTATGGACGCCCGGTATTGAAAACCAGTGATCTCGCATATATAGTACATAGTTTAAAAATGTCTTCCTTTTCATTGATTAAATGGGAGTAAGGAGAATTATATATATATATATATATATATATATATGTTATTTATATAGTATAGATATGAGGTGTGCGAGTGTGTGTGTGTGTGTGTGTGTGGTGTGTGTTGTGTGTTGTCGTGTGTGTGTGTGTGTGTGTGTTAGTGCGTGTGTGTGGTGTGTTGTGGGTGTGTGTGTGTGTGTGTGTGTGTGTGTGTGTTACGGGGCAGGGAAAATCTTCTAAAGACACTGCGGGGCCCGCAACCCGCAGCGTGTGGATTCATAGCCTAAGCGTATGCTTTACCCATTAAAAACCCTCCCTTTCCTCCTATTCACTTCCCGCGGAACCGCCGTCCGGCATTGCATCGCGAGAAGAAAAGACGAGCTTTTCGCACTTCACCGACATATTACGGGACACTTCTTCGTAACTGCTCCTCGGAGCGGAGCGTCTTTAGGACCTTTGCGGCATAGGTGGCTCCAATACTCTTATGGCATCAGCATCCTAGTGACGATGGTCTCAGGGGTAACTTCCTCTTGGAGGAGTCTGTGAAGTTCCTCCCTTTCCACTGCGAAGCGTGGGCAATGAAAGAACACGTGTTCTACATCATCAATCACCGGGAAACACCTTGGGCATGAGGAGCTATCGTCCAACCGGAATCGGAGCTGATACTCTCGGTAACATCCATGCCCTGTCAGCATCTGAGTTAGATAAAAATCTAATTCTCCATGTTCCCTTTGAATCCACGTCATGATGTCGGGAATGACCCGAAATGTCCATCGCCCATTTGATGATTGCTCCCATCGTCGTTGCCATTGGTACACTGTCACCCCCCTCCCTTCTTTTGTGATGGTATTCCAGTTTGAAGCCCCATAGAGTCTAGCTCTCTCCAGAGCAATGAGGTCGATCGGAGTATCTGCTAACACACACATAGCATCATAGGATACGGTGCGAAACGCTCGAGCAACCCGCAAGGCGGACCTTCTATGCACCGACTTAGCCCCACGGGCGTATGACTGAATGCCCATGGCAGCAGCCCAAATAGGGGCTGCGAAGAGAAGAATGGAATTTACTACGCTAGTCAGCAGCCTCCGGCTCCTTTGCCCAGGACCCCCTACATTAGGCATAATGCGTGCCAATGCAGATGCCATACGAGACGCTATCTCGGAGACTTTTAGCAGGTGCTCGTCAAAGCGTAGTCTCGCGTCAATATGCACTCCTAAATACCTCAGTGACAACTGCGAGGATATTTTGCAGCCTCCTACATTAAGAGTAATACTCTCTCTCACTTTTCTGTCCGTCACCAGCACAGCCTCTGTTTTATGCCCGGCCATCTGTAGCTCTACCGACGTAAGCCACCTTCGGATCTCCACCACAGCCTCGCGCGCGCGCGCGCGCGCGCGTGTGTGTGTGTGCGTGTGCCGGCACTTGGCATCGGCAGACCGGGCGATCGCCCGGGGCCCTGCAAGTCATCGGGTCCGATGATGGGACTGATGGGAAACATTATTTATTTTTATATTTAGATTTATTTAGTCAAAAACCGTTAAAAAAAAGTATATGACGTACGGAGGATATCATCTGGGCAAGTTTTCTTCAGTTCCAAACACTTATTTTAAAAAATTAAAAAGAAAGTAGATAAATTTAAGTAATTTATATTTGAATGTTTTGTTATAAGACAGAAAAAAGTAGTTGTTTTCACCAGATCCTTAAATATTAAAAGTTAATGAGTGTTGCTTAACACTAAACTAACTCTCGCCTTCCCCCAAGTAACGCTGCCTTCAAGAAAATCATTACCGTAATTTTGTAAGTCGAGGTACTGTAGTCTGATATCATACAATTTTTTTTTTTTTGCTTTAAATGTGATAATAGTCATTACTTACAAGGAGCCGTCCATAAATTATCAAACGCTAAAGAAGTTGAGGCAGCGTACGCTGCGTTACTTGGTGTAGGTGGTGTTAGTGTAATGTTACGCAACATTGATTAATTTTACATTTTTCGGCATCTGGTGAAAAAACTACTTTTTTCTGTCTTATAGCAAAACGTTAAAATATTAATTACTTAAAAAACAATAATTTAAGTTATTGTGAAATTTGTTACAATAAATGGAAGTATTTTTTCAATTTTTTATAGAATCTGTAAGATTACGAAGAAAATATTCTAAAAATTGATCTATCGTGTATTCTAGAATCCAATTTAATTGGTACAGTATATTGTCGCTCATGCGGCATCCACGTGTGTACGGCTTGTAATATATATTCATGTCTGTGCGTCCTTCCTTCACATAGCAATTCTTCCAATGTTATTGTTACATATAGTAAGAATCGCAAATTAACTCTGACTTTAACTATCATACATCTTAAAACAGAACACAAATAAAATGAATACAAATTGTGATATCATTTATATTTATTTCTTCTAAATGGAGGGTCTCAAGCGTTACGTATTTATTTGGGGGGGGGGGTAAGCGCGCGTTTCGGGTGCGTTACAATGGGAGAAGGGAGTATTCAAAATACACCAAATTTACGTTACGTAATTTATGGGCGGCCTCTTTACAGGAAGGACCGTGGATGAATAATGTATTAATCTATGGTAGGACTCAATGAAATGAATCAATGACACTAACATTAAAATAGGTTTTGAAATTCATATGTATCATTTCATATCTTTAACAAGTAATTTTATTAAACACTAACTAAACACAATAACATTTTTTAGCGCTGAAAGGCCAAATATATTCCCAAAATATTTTTCTAGGTTAAACGTATTTGTTTTGTTTTTTGTTGAAATAAAATATCTCATAATTTCTTGATACAAGTTTTATAATTTTAATTTTTTCGGAGGGGAGGGATGAACTACGTTTCAGTATTGCCCCGGGCCCAAAATTGTTTGGCTCCAGCTCTGATTGAGATCACTAAGGAAATCTTATAAGCAGGGCTTGGATTCTGAAGACTTGTCATCTTTTCATTGGTGCATTGTAGACTTAGCTAACTTGTAAAATAATATTAATCACGGCATATAGGTGACAGAAATGAAAAATTGTTGGGTCATTCTTTGTCAATTTTTAGATCTTTTTTCTGGACCGTTGCGTCATTTCTACGTTCTCACCCCTTTTTTCGTGTTTTTGTTAAAGACTCATTTAGAGGTCTCGTGACATAAATAACTATTATTCATAAATTAATACGCATTAACGTTAAATAATATTACTGTTTAATTATACATTTGTATGTTATTGTAATTAATTTCAATATTCTATTATTTATAACTTTATTTCACTTATATTCAGGTAATAAATCTTAACCGCGTCCCCCCCAGTGAATAACCTGGATATGCCCATCGCCATCCAAATTATATATTAATATCCACCCTTTCTTTATCCATTTGGCTATTCTTTCCATTAAGAAGAAAAGTTGTTAATAAAACGTGTTTGTTTGTTAAAAAATGTATAAATGCCACTTCGTATTTGGAGAATATCAAACAAAAATAAAAAAAACATGCAATTGATGTTGGGTAAAAACTTCAATAAATGTTTATTCAGTATTATAGAGATATGTTCTTCGATCAATTTACACTTCCTTAAAACATTTGGAGTTCCTTGACGGTTAGCTTTTCGCTTTCCTTGATAGTCACAAAAAGATTAGGAAAGGTTTTTGTTACATACATATTCTTTATTCTTTGTAATGTTGGTAGTCATGGGGTTGTTATTCTTAGAATCAAGTATGTTCGCATGTCTTATGTAAAGAGCTGTCATTCTATATCTGAAAGCGAGTAAAGACATTCTAAAGATATATACATTTATTGCATACACAACAGTTTTTACTCATGAGAAAGCCAAGTAAAGGTTTCCATGCCAAAATACAGGATCGGGGAAGTACAGCCCTACTCTTTGCAATATTATTTAACTTTCCTGGATTTGTTATGATGAATAGAGAGGGTATTGGAGGAGTAGGACGCCAGCTTGCCGAGGTGCGAAAATTGAAAAAAAATATTTGTATACTAAAAAATATTAGATTGTTTTCTGCGTTCTTTTGTACCTCAAAAAACGCAATTCCGGACCAAAAAATAATAAAACTAATATTTTCACCTTTGAGTAATAAATATAATTTATTACCATTAGAAACAATTCTGTACGCTTAGACTTCATTACGGCACATGGGAATGTTGCTCAAACGATGTTTACGTATTGAATATTTTAGCGAACTGACAAGTTTAATATCAAACGGTGGATTATTTACAATATGTGTTTACAGCTGGGCATTGATGTGTACACTTCCAGATAATGTCATAATTTAAATCGTGCGTCTGGATTGTGATGATAATTTTACATTCGGTTGCTTTTTAATTTTATTATTATTATTATTATTATTATTATTATTATTATTATTATTATTATTATTATTATTATTAAAAATTAATTCACATAGTAATGTACGCTAGCGCGTTTTTGTTCATTTATTTAGTTAAACTTAAGTTCATTTAAAGTTTGTTTTTTGTGTTGTGCCATAATCTAAGTTTTCCCCGCGTACCCGTGCGAGAACTGTCGCATGGTAAACCCCGCACATTTCTTTATCCTTCTATTTCCATTCTAAGAGCCGAAGGTGTTAACGAAACGTATTTATTTGTTTAAAAAACGTATAAAGGTAATATCCATTGTACTAACACAATTACAAATAAAAATAAAAACAATTCAATTGATGTGGAAAATAAATTTTCACTAAAGATTTATTCAGTAGAGGTTTCTTGGAACAATTCACAACGCTCTCTGAAAACTATTTGAAGTAATTATTCAATATCATTTGACTGTTAGCTTTTCGTTTTGCATGATAGTCACATAAAAATTTAAAAAAAAGTATTTTTACTCTTGAGAAAGCTTCGTGACTGAACACGCTGACTTGAAAATTTCATCAAATCACTGCTGATAACGAAACTACAGGTACAGGTAAAACACAAACCCAATCTGACAAGTCTTCATTATTAAA